AAGAGAGAAAAAAAGTTTAATACCCACAATCCCTTACTGAGAAACAAGTATTAATGTGTCTACTTTAGCAAGAATGTCAAAGGCAGTTCCAGAATAATAGCAGTGAGATAAACAATGATATGTGTGTGCATGTGTGTACAGATGTTCCTATTTCTGGAGTCTATTTCTCAACATGTCATCTAGAAATTCGCCTTTTCTTTTATTACAAATGAAACTATCCTCAAGTTTTTATTTTTGTCAGGTTTTGATAGTAAATGTTATGCTGGTGAGTATCTTCAGTAGGTGATTCGATCTACAAATGGAGATAAGGAACATTTCTGAACACTCATAATCTGTTTTTTTTTTTTTTTTTAAATCTATATGCACAGGTGTGTTCAGTATGTGAAAATTTCTCAAACTATGTTGTTATTGTTGTTGTTGGTATGTGCTGTGGAGTCGGTTCCGACTCATAGCGACCCTGTACAGGGTTTCCGAGGCTGTAAATCTTTACAGGAGTTGAAAACCTCATCTTTCTCTCAAGAAACAGCTGGTAGTTTCGAACTGCTGACCATGAGATTAGCAGCTGGATTCGTAACCACTAGGTTAGTGGCTCAAACCCACCAGCTGCTCCTCAGAAACCTTATACAAAGTTGCTATGCATCAGACTGACTTGACAACACTTAGCAATAACATACACTCACAATGATAAACTTTTCTTTGTTCTTGTTATGCTTCACTAAAAAGTTTTGAAAGTTATGTGAGCTTCATAAAATAAATTGGGAAGTTTTACATTAAAAAAAAATTTTAAACAAAGTCTCTGATATTTAAATCATGTTAAAATATTCTCTAAATTCTAGTTATAACTTGATTTATGATAACATCTGTCTCTTTGTTCTAGTATATTAAAAAAAAAGTTCACTGCAGCATTAATTACCATAGACAAAGGGTGGAAACAACCCAAGTATCTGTCAAAAGATGAATGGATAGAGAACAAACAAGATGGCGGATCGGGTGGACGTATAGCAGAGAGCTCCGCCAACAACAACACAGAATACCTGACCAAGCATGCTCAGGGGATGGTCCCAGAACTCTGAACCACATATAAAGGAATACTTAGAAGGTTGGAAGGCTCACAGCTGGGGGACTCTGTGACAGAAGCAAGAAATCTATTGCTTTCTAGTCC